CATTTAAATGCATTTTTCTTAATGCCATTTGAAAAGCTAAATTAATATCTCTAGATGTATGTTGTGTTGGAGATTTATTCAATATATGAGCTGTGAGTCTAATAAATTCAAGAAATAAATCACCACGTCCCATAAGAAAAAAATCTTTTACTAATTTAAGTTGTTGCACAAGTTGTGCTTCTTCAACAGCAACCCTCCATAAAAGTTCTGTTATACATTGCTTCAATTCATCAATTGTACGTTCAAATTCAATAATATTAAAAATATGTTTTTTCTGGAGATTCTGAAGTTTGAGAAAAAATTCATATTCTTTCTCTCCCCATATAGAAGTTTCAGTTTGGTCACTTATAGCAAAATCTATAAACAAATACAAACGTTTTCAATGATTTTAACTCTTGTTTTAAGCAATTTAAAATTGTTTTAATATAAATTAGGCAGTATAAATTACCTTTCTTTTGTCTTGGGTCATTTCCAAACATTATAATCGTTTGACCTATAGTTAAAATTTTAGTTGCTAAAGATGGTCTAATATAGGATGGAAGCATATCTATTTGAACATTATAATTCCACATATCTCCACTAAATTTTGTATCAATAAAATTATTTTTATCATCTACTGATATCAAACTGTTTTGTCTTTCAGATACTTTTTGAATAAAAAACTCAATGTACATATCTTCTATATGACCATATAATAACCAGTTAGTTAAGTGTTTATAAAAAACTATGTGCACACAGTGAGACATCCTGAATAATGCAAAGTAATTAGCAACAGTATAAATGAAATAAAATAAAATAATGCATTATAACTATATTTACTTTTCTATTGCAGATTTCACAGTAGGAATACCAGTATACATATTTTGATGTAAACATTGTAATAATTTACAGCCATGTAGTTTCTGTATACGAATCTGAAATAAATTAAGAACTAAATTATAATAAATTAAAATTAAATTTTCTATTTGAGTATCTTAAAGACCATTTTAGATATTAATTATATCATATTAATAATCCTAATTTACCTCTTTTATAATAGAATTTAAAACAGAAAATAGACACATGTAATTTTGGATACGACAAAGAATTAATGATAATGGAGTATAACTATCACGAAGAACAATATTTTCTAAATCAACAATCTCTTCACGAAAGGGTTCTAAAGCTTGATCCATTCCTTCACAAAGGGCTTGTAAGTATAAACCATGAGGCATATCCTGATTTTGTAAATCTATAATATGTATATAAATATTAATATATTATAAATTAATATATAATATGATATATAATTAAATTTAATAAAAATTTTGATACCTTCAGTAGATTTTAAATTATCAGAAGTGGTACATTCTTGAATAAAGTTTCTAATAATATTGCATTGTTCAACTATATCCAATATTTTCTTAAGTAATACACGTTCTCCAGGATGTAAATATTTTTCAAGGTCTTACAAATTCGTTCCAAGTTCAAGTAATAGCCAGTAGTTCCTTAATGTTTTCACTTTTATTGTAAATTTACGTTGTGAACAATTTGTTATTATCATTAATAGTTTGTTACTAACGATAAGTATTATAGTTTACGTATAATAGTATATGTGTAATTATTACTCAAAATGTTCGAATTGATGCTGATAATACTATTAGTTTTTCATTAACTACAATCTTCTTTGCAATTAATTTACAAATTATATGCTCGGATTATAAAAACAATATCCTTATGAACATTCTCATGTCATTTTTGTTCTTATTTTACTTCTAATTTTGTTCATAATTAATTATTCTGTTGGACCATCGCGCCGATCGTTGTATCGAATCACGTACGTCGTCAAGTAAGTAATAATAACAAACTAATTAGCGCCAAATTATGTGCAAAAATTGTATAAGAATGCTGCGCAAGGAGTCGGCTATGCGATACAGTTATAAAAGTTCATAAATTAATCTCAGAAATTGCATAATTTGTTAATTTAAAATTATTCCCCAATAATTCCCAATCGCTAATACGGTCTTCATACCTTTTTTTATTTGGAGGTCCAGGGGGTTCAACAGCTGGTTATGAGCTTAATTTTGGATCAGTTAAATGATCATGAGCTGATTTGCACTTACCACTAGACTTTCTATTTAATATCGCAGATTCTTCTTCATCTTCCTCTGCTTTTTTGCCAAATGATAAAAGATTGAAGTTACTGTAACAAAATTTTTCATTACAAAGAATAATACTATCATGGATAAATGCTACAAACATATATGATTTTTACTTTATTCCTGTCCTTTACTTCTTCACTTTCCTGTACTATTAATCTTGGTATAATTTCAGAAAAGGGATTGTTCGATAATTCAGCTTTTATCATTTTTGGAGCATAAAGTGGTTTATCATTCTACAAAACACCGGAAATATTATATTTATATCAATTCTTGATATAATTCTTGATACATTTTCTTATAAACATTAAATTTACCTCATCTACAAGTGCTTCTTCAAGTTCAAGCATGTCATATATAATTTCTTCAGTAACATAACCAAAAGTTGAATGTTTATTCTGCAAATCTAATTGAGAACCAAGAGTAAAAAAGAATTGGCAACCATTGTAATCTTCTTCAGCATTAGCCATAGCAATTAAACCGCGACCACAGGAACGTAATCTAAAACGAACTGAAAAAAAGTATTCAATTCAGTTAGAGAAAATTCCACTCTACACTAATGTATAGAACAAACCTAATCAAAAATCCCAATTTCGAAGATAGATGTCAAAAATGTCTATTACGCGTACGTTTTCACGGCTACTGACACATTCGGCACAATTTTTCGAAAACGCACACTCAAAACTGAAAAAAAAATATTCAATATCATTAAAGAAAATTCCACTCTACACTGATATATAGCACAAACCTAATCAAGAAGACTAATTACGGAAATAGAAAAGAAAATGCACTATTACGCAGTACGATTTTACAGCCACTAACACATTCGGCACTATTGTTCGAAAATGCACTCTCGAAACCGAAAAAAAATATCCAATCCCGTTAAGGAATAAATCACTCTACACGAATATATAGAACAAACCTAATCAAAAAGCCTAATTTCGGAAATAGAAGCCAAGAAAGTCTATTACGCAGCACGATTGCACGGCCACTGACACGTTCGGCACTATTGTTCGGAAACGCACGCTCGAAACCGAAAAAAAATATCCAATCCAGTTAAAGAACATTCTCCTCTACAAGGATATATAGAACAAACCTAATCAAAAAGCCTAATTTCGTAAATGGAAACCAAAAATGTCTATTCCGCAGTACGATCTGACAGCCACGGACACTTTCGTCACTATTTTTCGAAAAGGCACACTAGAAACCGAAAAAAGATATTCAATCCCGTTAAAGAACATTCTTTTCTACGAGAATATATAGAACAAACCTAATCAAAAAGCCTAATTTCGGAAATGGAAACCAAAATATTCTATTACGCAGCACGATTTCACAGCCACAGACACTTTCGGCACTATTTTCCGAAAACGCGCGCTCGAAACCGAAAAAAAATACCCAATCTCGTTAAGGAAGAATTCCTTCTACGCGAAATATAGAACAAACCTAATCAAAATGCGTAATTTCTGAAATGGAGGATAAGAAAGTCTATTACGCCGCACGATTTCACAGCCAGAGACACCTTCGTCATTAAATTTCGGACACGAATGATGAAAATCAGAGAAATCGGCACACGATAAAGAGAAAAGCCTAATCAACGCTGTTATACTAACAAAACCTAATCCGAAAGCCTAATTACGGAAATATAAACGATAAAATTGAACTGTGTAGCACGATTTCACAGGCACTTGTACTTCCGTCATTTTACTTCACATGTGCACCTTCACTTTATTTCACATGTGCACCTTCACTTTATTTCACATGTGCACCTTCACTCACCACCAAACAAATGTTCACAGTTATTTATTCTGTTCTTGGTAAAGTTCTTTCAATTTCTTAACCTTGTGTTGTGGTCCTTTCGTATATATCACGACGATGTTTCGAAAGTTTCGAAAGTTGTTTAATGTAATAATAGCTCATACTGCGTATTATTGTTTTTAATTATTTCTTTCGTCAATTACAGTAGATAAAAGACTGATAGATGGTAACAGTACTTCACGAAATGTTTTATTCAGGTACTGAAAGTTTCACTTCAACGCGTGTAAATGTTCCACCATGTGTTACCGGCATGTTGGATCGCGTCGACTGTAAGTATTCTGCGATTGGGCAATGCTGTGCCTCGTTTTCGCGGGAAGATGCTTAGTCTTTGAAATAGCCATGTGGTAAAGTATCGATGTAAAATATCAAACGATATCTCTTATATTTAATAATATCAGTGAAGCAATTATAAATATATTACTGTTACTTTTGTAGTTGCGTTGGAAAGCTGAAACTTTGGGCAACATTCTTATGTACTTTTCGTACATAATTTAATGCGAATTAGTTAATTATTAATTATTATTTGAAGGATGTGTTGAACATTGTAATCACAATTTAATTTTATTTTATTAAATCATTTATTTCCTGGTTATTATAAAAATGTTTATTACATTACAAATACAATTATTGAATTATAAGTTGTTATAAAAAGGAATAATTTTTTATAATATATGATATAATAAATTTTAGAAATAAGCAAATGAAAAATATAATTCATTGATTGTTATATATTACACTCATTTAAAAATGACTAAATTTATTTTTCTTTTAGTATTAATATGTATTTCTTTTATATTTATATCTAATAAATTAAGCATAAAATTAAATTTTTCATATTTTCATCATCCAAATAATTTTTCAATTTTAAAATCTAACTAATTATACCAGCCAACATGATTTTGGAGAAAATCGATGAGGAAACAGTGCCAAAAGCAGTCAATAATATACAAGATATAAAAAATAAGTTCAATATGCACATAACAAATAATAATTTTAAAGTAAAATACTATAAATACATTATATGCTTGTACATTATTTATTAGCGCTCAAATAATTCAAATGTTTTTTACATCTTTTTGCTGAACCATCTATTGAAATCTAATCTCAGCAATAATTGAGCTAAATGTTCTCCACTTGGTTGTGCACGTACTCTATTCAGTGTTTTAGTTAGCCAACCCATTAGACTCTCTAGAGTATCAGATAAAGTTTTAAGTTCTTCTCGCTCTGTTAAAAGTAAATTATCTACTTCCCACATCGATGCTTGCAAGATAAAATCATCGCAAAGTCGTAACAAAAGTTTTATTAATTTATTTACCTATTAAAAATATTTACCACATAAATAAGTAGATAAAAATTGTAAAATTATTTGATTTAAAATATAACATACAGGATTTTTTCTTTCTATTGAATTTCCCAATAAAAATGTTTGTGACATAACATTAGCTAAAAAAATAGAATGTGCCTTTTGTACATCTTCAAAATTCCGGGTATTTTTCATATTTGTTTCCATTATTGTATATTGACTTTCTAGTACATCAACTTGTAAATAGTATTGTAAATTATCAATAATAAAAATTAAATTATTTCTTAGCTGAATTACACCAATATCTCTGTAACAATGGAAATTGTTAATATTTAATAAAAATTAGACGAGATAATATCTATTGTATATCTATTACAATCTAATATAATAATTAAATCATATCTTACATGTTTTTATGATACATATGCTCGCTCCAAAGGTTCCACAAATCAATTTGTGTTTTTTTAACCCTCAGCAAAAATTTAAATAATGTATTGTAATCATTTAAAGCAGATGGACTAAATAATAAATGTAGTGGCCAAACGACTTTATATTTTAAAGTAATCATGCCCCATCCACGTCTTTCTATAATATTATACTATATTAGCATAAATTTTATCTACTTAAAAAATATAAGATTAACTAAGAAAATATCATACCAATAGGATCTTCACGTTCCTTCTCAGTAAATTCCATACCTTCCACCTCAATATCTTCACTTTCATCTGCTGGAACTGGTACTATAAAATTAAAGCTATCCATAGCATTTTCATCATTTAAATGCATTTTTCTTAATGCCATTTGAAAAGCTAAATTAATATCTCTAGATGTATGTTGTGTTGGAGATTTATTCAATATATGAGCTGTGAGTCTAATAAATTCAAGAAATAAATCACCACGTCCCATAAGAAAAAAATCTTTTACTAATTTAAGTTGTTGCACAAGTTGTGCTTCTTCAACAGCAACCCTCCATAAAAGTTCTGTTATACATTGCTTCAATTCATCAATTGTACGTTCAAATTCAATAATATTAAAAATATGTTTTTTCTGGAGATTCTGAAGTTTGAGAAAAAATTCATATTCTTTCTCTCCCCATATAGAAGTTTCAGTTTGGTCACTTATAGCAAAATCTATAAACAAATACAAACGTTTTCAATGATTTTAACTCTTGTTTTAAGCAATTTAAAATTGTTTTAATATAAATTAGGCAGTATAAATTACCTTTCTTTTGTCTTGGGTCATTTCCAAACATTATAATCGTTTGACCTATAGTTAAAATTTTAGTTGCTAAAGATGGTCTAATATAGGATGGAAGCATATCTATTTGAACATTATAATTCCACATATCTCCACTAAATTTTGTATCAATAAAATTATTTTTATCATCTACTGATATCAAACTGTTTTGTCTTTCAGATACTTTTTGAATAAAAAACTCAATGTACATATCTTCTATATGACCATATAATAACCAGTTAGTTAAGTGTTTATAAAAAACTATGTGCACACAGTGAGACATCCTGAATAATGCAAAGTAATTAGCAACAGTATAAATGAAATAAAATAAAATAATGCATTATAACTATATTTACTTTTCTATTGCAGATTTCACAGTAGGAATACCAGTATACATATTTTGATGTAAACATTGTAATAATTTACAGCCATGTAGTTTCTGTATACGAATCTGAAATAAATTAAGAACTAAATTATAATAAATTAAAATTAAATTTTCTATTTGAGTATCTTAAAGACCATTTTAGATATTAATTATATCATATTAATAATCCTAATTTACCTCTTTTATAATAGAATTTAAAACAGAAAATAGACACATGTAATTTTGGATACGACAAAGAATTAATGATAATGGAGTATAACTATCACGAAGAACAATATTTTCTAAATCAACAATCTCTTCACGAAAGGGTTCTAAAGCTTGATCCATTCCTTCACAAAGGGCTTGTAAGTATAAACCATGAGGCATATCCTGATTTTGTAAATCTATAATATGTATATAAATATTAATATATTATAAATTAATATATAATATGATATATAATTAAATTTAATAAAAATTTTGATACCTTCAGTAGATTTTAAATTATCAGAAGTGGTACATTCTTGAATAAAGTTTCTAATAATATTGCATTGTTCAACTATATCCAATATTTTCTTAAGTAATACACGTTCTCCAGGATGTAAATATTTTTCAAGGTCTATAGTCTAAAAATAATAAATTTCAGACATTAATAAATTATTCAATTTAAAATTAATTATAATATTAAGAAATATAACATTATAATCACATCTGATTCCAATATTTGTAAAGCATTGGTTGAACATCCCCACAATGATAATAAAACTTCGTGTAACATTTTATCAGTACTTTTCCACTTAATGAAATATTACTTTTTCATATCAAACTATGTTACACGTAAGTACAAAATGTAATATACAAAGTACAATACAAAGTACTATATAACCTGAATTCAAGTGTCAAAATTAATTGCTTTTAATATAAAAATATGACAAAAAAATATTGTATTTATTATAAGTAGAAAAAAATTATACTTTTTGATCTATCCATTTCTTGTTCATATTAAATATTTCATTATAAGATTAACTGTCAATGTCAGTACATTTTATACATTTTATTGATGTGTTTTTATTTTCGTTTAAACATTTGTTTCGAATTATACATGCACATGTATATACAGATAAATCATAACTTAAAGACTATCTTCTCATGTAATCTACTTTCGATTGAAAACGTGTATTTATTAGTTTGCATGAAGAAGATTTAGATAGCATGATACAATTAAGCATAAACAACTTGGTAGACGTCATTCATGAAATACAAAATTATATTATTACTATTGAGAAAAATATTTGGTAGTATTATAAAATAATAACTAAGGTTAATAAATTGTTTTCTAATTGTAAATGACATTTAAAATATCTAAAAATATTGTAATAAATTATGCATTATTTATATTAAAAAGATGATATTTCTTAATTAATATAAATAATTACATTTATTTGTCATTTCAGTATAGAGAAATAACCTCAACTAAACACTCGTTAAAATTATGTGTAAGTATATTATTAGTGTATATAGTATATTTTTAATAAACTTCAAAGAATTATTCAATACTATAGTAAGATATAGGAAAGCACTTATAAAAACAATACATATTTTTATATGACAAATTCTCTTTACTGATAAATTTTTCAGAGATTCAGTTATGGATGCATCAAAGAATATATTTATATGTCGTTTATGTGGTGTAAATCTTGCAGATGGAAAATATAAAAGTATCTTTGAAGGATCAACAGATTTAATACATAAAATAAAAGAAACATTACCAATTTCAGTATGTTAATATACGTAACAGAAGTTAATGTATCAATTTCTTTCTGAAATTTAAATATTTTATTTATATTTTATTTATATCAAATTCCTAAAATATTTTGACAATTCAGCTGTTTAAAGATCACATGAAAAAAATATGAAGAATTTATTTTTGTTGATTTTTTAATTTTGATATTGTTTGGTAATTAAAAAGGAAAATTTTGTTATGATATGGTTAAAAAGAGGCAGAATTTTTAAATATAAGCCTTTTAAAAATAAGTGGTAAATCAACAATATTTTACAAAAAGGTAATGATGTAACTAATCTTATGACAATCAATTTTTTTGAGACATGCTAGAAGATGGAAAAAATGTATATTTGATTCAAAAATAAAATGGACAAACACTTTTATATAGGATTACTTAATGGGTATTTTGAATTTGAAAACATCTACTACATAAAGAGATAAGAAATGTGATTTACGATGTTTTTTCTTGTGGTCTTTGTTTTGTATATAATTTTTATATATATAAAACAAGATATTTATTTTTTATATAAATGTATTATTATATAAAAGGATTTTAAATTAATATTCATTTAAATGATTTTTGCAGATATCTATTGATGATAATGGTTCAAAGTATGTATGCTTGCCATGTTATGATAAAATCATTTTTTATTACAAATTTATTCAAGAGGTATTGGAATATTCTAAGAGATTAGAAAATGCATCACAAATAAAATCCTTCTTTGATCTGTCTAAAGAAATAACAAACTTTTCACAAATTCATAGTGATGCTGTATATACATGCCCAAATTGTAATGTAGATTTAATGATTTTATTAGTCAGTAATCCTCAAGGCTGTGATTATACCTTCCAAATCTCATTAGCTATGATAAACCATTCTGAAAAAAAACATATTATAAAAGAGAAAAATATACAAATACATAAAAATATAGTACATAATAATAATGCTAAAAATAATGTACATTTAAAATATGGAAACAAAGCAACAATTGCAGAAGACATTGAAAATATACCTAATCAAGTAAGTCTAACACTACCTGTCTTGCAAGAAGAAAATTTAAATTGTATTGATGTATTATCTGAAAAACAAAACTCAGAAATTGGAATAGAGAAAAAATTAAAAAGAGAGCTTAAGGAATTAAATTCTTATGATTCTTCTGTTCACTTATCAAAAGTATCAAAAATGGAAGAGATATCATATGTGTCTAATGAGAATTTGCTGAATTACAATTATGATTCTGCAGATCCATTAGTGAAAAATGAGCCTGAAAGTGATAATACATATTGGTTAGATAGTGAGACTGACTATAAAAGTGAAAAAGATACATATATAACCAAATCACAAGATATTATGCTTGGAAAAGATAATGCACAAGATGAAAATGATATATATAAATCTTGTTTGAAGTATGTGTGTAAATTATGTGGAGCACGTTATCTTTCACATTTGAAATATGAATTTCACATGGAAAGACACAAATTAGATAAAATAGATAAGTATGAATGTACATTGTGTGATAAAGAAACAAGTACTGAAAATTTATTATGGGATCATTATTTTCACACACATAAAAGTTTACAACGTTATATTTGTATAGAGTGTGGAAAATTATTTACAAAAAGATCTAGATTAAATGGACATCAAAAAAATTACAAACATTCTGGTGTAAAACAAATTCAAGTTGGTACTAGCGAAGATACTATTAGTGATGATATTATACAGAAGGCAATAGCAACAACAAAACAGGAAAAAGTGTCTATAAATTGTAATCTTTGTGGTAAACTGATTTCAGACTTGGATCCAGATGCTATTAATGACTTAGTGACATGTGCTACTTGTGAAGACTCTACACTTTCTTTAATGATAGATGGAAATGAAACAAAAGTTATCTCTCCACGTCAATATCATTGCTCTAAATGTCCTAAGCATTTTGTACGAAAAGAAAGACTAGAGTTTCATGAAATGAGACATAATGAAAATATGAATGAATTTATTTGTAGTACTTGTGGAAAAGATTTTAGAGCAGAAAATTCTTTGTATGAGCATTATCTTTTTGTTCATAAAGGAGCAAGGCCTCACATTTGTGAATTATGTGGTAAGTCTTTTCAGTTGAAAGCTAGATTAAAAGAACATCATCGAATTCATACAGGTGAAAGACCATATCAATGTGACATCTGTGGTCAACGATGTAGAACTACAAATGCTTTGAAACTTCATAGAAAAATTCATTTTTCTTATAATAGGTATACTTGTAACATATGCAATAAATCATTTAGTAAAAAGCAGAATATGAATGAACACTTAGAGAAACATTGGAAAAATGACAAAAGTGTAACATTACCGCAATTATTTACATGCCCAATTTGTGTAGAAGATTTTCCAACATATCGTATGTTGAAATACCACATGGTAGAAGTTCATGAAATAAATAATCAAGACCCAATTTTGACGAAACAAAAACCATGGTATGAATGTGGAGAATGTCATGAAAAATTTAAGCATCAAATGTCATTAAAAGCACACAAAGAAAGAGTACACGAAGGGAGAGTAGATCCGATTTATCAGTGTGACATATGTAATGCTACATATAGAGTAAAACAACTTTTAGTAAATCACATTAAAAGTAAACATAATGGTGAAAGACGTTATAAATGTGCACAATGTGAAAAGGGATTTAATGATACTAAGTCTTTATATAATCATGTATTATTACATACTGGTAAAAAACCGTTTGTCTGTGAATATTGTAATATGAGTTTTAGAAGAAAAGATTCTAGAGATCATCATCGTAGGAAACATACTGGTGAACAACCTTATCAATGTCCAGATTGTGGTGAATCATTTTCTACTTATAATAATCGATCTAAACATCGAAAACGAGAACATGGCGAAGGTGATCCTGAATGTCCTGAATGTGGGGAAAAATGTAATAATCAACAAGAAATTAGAATACATTTAAATAAACATCTAGGAGAAAAATTAAAAAAATTACAAAACAAAATCTGAAGAGATATAGCTTATATATCACACAATTTTTAAACAAATGCTGTGGAACCTCGATTATGCAACTGATTATTTAAATTAAAATGCACTAATTAATTATAATGTAGAAAGATCTTATTTATTATAAGTTATATTTATTTACAAAGATTTATTTATTATTGATATTTTACACATAAGCTTTTTATTATGTCATTCTTTTGGATATCCATCTTTGATTAATTAATCAAAGAATATAATTTGAAATTAGAAAAGTATTGTAACAGACATTTTAATTTTTGACAGTTTCATTATGATTTCATCAAATTATTTTAAATTAATTATTTTTTATTTAAAAACAGAGATTCCTTTATTGGTTTTTAATCAAAATTAGATATTGTTCTTTAATAATATTTTAAAATATTTCTTTGTATATTATTTCATAGAATAAATATATTTATATTATATAACGGAATAATAAATAATATGTTGATGTTTTATTAAACAAACTCTTTCTTGTATTGAATATTTTAATGTGAAAGTTGATTAGTTTTTTGTATAGAACTTTACATAAAATTGTTTTTATCTAAAAAAATAATTTTTTTATTATGTTCATTCAGATAAAGATGATATTATGTTCCTAAAAATACTTATCAACTTTTATACAGACCATTTTTCCAATCAAATTTAAATAAATTTATATGTAAAACTTTCATTTTCATTTTTCTTCAATGTACTTTTCTTGTAAAATATTTAATGTAATATACAACAGATAGAAAAAATTCATTCATAATTCTTTAATGATTTAATAAAAATTCAACAAATGTTTCAATCATTTCAATTTAGTAACACAGTAGTATTTGAGTAGCTTTACTTAATTTCTTTGTTTATGAACATAATGATATCTTATTATAATTCTCTTTAGATTCAAGTCTTCATTATGTATATAATATTTTATAAGATAATTAAGTTTAAATTAAAAACAATATATTGTAACTTGTTGCAAACATAGTACCTGAAACTATCTATAAATGTATTGAAGAATAAATTTCAGACTTTGAAAATAAATCATTGTTGAAACTTTAAATATTAAATATAAAAAAATTATAAAATAAAGAAGTTTCAAGGCTTTACTATAAATAAAGAAAGATTATGTGTATTTGTCAAATTATACTTTTGTTAATGGATATTGATAATTAAAAAAATCATGTTTGTTCTGATTTGAAAGCATCTACAAAAGTTAAAACTACTTAATAAATTATTTTGTGTATTATTTTATAATAATTATTATATAATAAATAAATTATTTTTTTCTTCTTTTT